GGTGTAGGATTTAAGGTTTGGGGTTCAGGGTTTAAGGTTGAGGGTTTTGGGTTTAAAAGGGAAGAAATTGGACTTGACCATATCATTCAGGATTGACGGGGTAGGCTCTCCGACACTGGGTTCACGACTTGAAATTGGATTTCAGACGCGAGTGGGGATCTAGCAGTTACCATGAGACACTGTAACTGACCACACACTCGTATAACGAACCCCGCAATGATCATCCAAGCATCCACAAGTCAGGGTGCAAGGTGTCAACAAGCATTGAAAGCAGAACAGTTGTGACTACAGCCACAGCATTTCAGTAGCTGGCCCCTCGTCAGTACCAATACCTCCCAAATCTCCATGAGTCCATGAGCATCACCTATGTGCCCAGTATTTTTGAGGAGCAAAGCCATTATTGTGGCTGTTTGGGAGGTCTAGATACTCGTGGGGCCGGTAACTTGCAACACCTGGACTCCCAGAATCATTTCTTTGTTGGGGTTTCTGGTTAGGCCCCCCCAAACAGGGAACTACTTGGGAGGGTCTAGGTAAACTTGCCCAAAGGGTCCATGTAGGTATATGGTATATACTTAGGGCCCAAAGGGGTTCCCATATACTTACTTTAAGGCCCGAGTATATCCCAAAAACCCTAAACCCTAAAACCCTAAAACCCTAAACCCTAAACCCTAAAATCCTAAGCCCAAGTATATCCTACATGGACCCTTTGGGTAGGTAAACTTGTAGCATACCTCCGAGTCCAGGATGTGATCGTCGGTGACCTCGAGGCGAGTGAGTCTCTCCCATGATCCCCATGCTCTGGCTGAATCTGGGCGGCTGTTAAAGAACTTCATGTAAGTCACCATCATATGGGTATAGGTTTAGGGTTTAGGGATTTAGGGTTTAGGGATTTAGGGTTTAGGGAATATGGGCATACAGTAAGTAGTGCGGCTTCCTTACTATATCAACTTGTCCTAAGGTCCTTAACAGCAGCCCAGAAATTCTGCGCCGACAGATAGTGTATTTGCCCTGGATCCATCCCCTTGAACAACTTCAACTGTTTGTTCAAGTTACAAGTAGTGGAGATGTGAACGATGGGCCCTTAGTATGGGTCCTTGATCCTGGGGTGCCTTCATACTTAATATATACCCAATCAAAACTCATTGAGAGCCAATAGATAGGACCCAAAAATCGTGATGGCGACCCATGGTAAGGACCTTAGAATACTGGGGGTGGGGTGGCGTCGGCATTAGACCTTGTGGGATTTGGGGGCGGGCTTGTCGGCGTTGTGGCCTGCACTACCCTAAACCCTGAACCCTAAATCCTAAGCCCCAAGCCCTGAGCATCCTCCCTATATCGTGCATTGTACTGCACTCAATGCGGTCATCGCTAAGCCCCTGGCATGACATTGGTAATCTCAAAACTTTAGGATATCCTGGAGCAAGCTAGGGGCTAATACTGTAGAGGCCTGAATGATTCCAAATAGCATGTTGAAGTCTGGTTCAGGGATCCTATGCCACAATTATACAAGGAACGGGGTAGAATATTGGTCAGCTATTTAGGCGTACGTGACACAAAATCCCCTTCATGCTTTGCGTACCCAAATTTAGCCTGATGCTTGTGAGCTTGACCACCGTCCAATGAATCAACCACCCAAAAACACGAGCACAGAATACTATTTACTATAGTCACCCTTACATAGATAGAATGTGGTCTGGGTATAGTATACTAAGATCCCCATATACCCCACATTCTATCTACTCAAAGTGGACTATATCCTCTCGAAACGGCTTTTACGTGGCGGCCACTCCTACGCAAAATCAAGCCTTCCTGTGTCCCCCACCACATTGGTTCTGAGTGGCACCACACGAGGCCGACCCAGGGAGAGGGTGGGCCAGCGCCACAAAAATCATGTCAGTCTTGCCCAATCATAGCGAAATCACCTGAAAACTTGCTTACTACGGTGTACCCAGCCCAAGCAAAGATGGAGGCCCATGTAGCCCCCCGTGTACAGAACAGTCGTCTTCGTCTGAAGGGGCTCTACAAACTCTCAGGCTCAGGCAATCAGCTCGATGCACTTGTCCACGAGCTTGCACAGACCATACTGCACGCCAACCTGACAAAGGTTTCCGCCCATCTGTAACCCACAGCTGAAGTATATTGGATGCCAACCATTATGATGCAGCTTCTAGCTCATAATCAGCAAGAAGGGAAGAGAAAGCATGAGAGAGAGAGAGAGAGAGAGAGTGAGTGACGTACACAAATATATATGTATAATGTATATATATATAAGATAGAGCGACTGAGTGCGAGGAGTCATCGCTGTGATGGCTTGTACTTGAGCATGCAACAGAGACACTTTGGGCATTAGTTGGCCAGATCTTCCAGGGGGAGTCCGCGCGCAGCGAGGCGAGCGTCCCTTGTGTCACATCGTTAACTCGTTAACAACCTGAAGCTGCAGCCGACGCTCCTTCGCAACTTCTGTTTTCTATTCATCAGCGTTCTCTGCTAGCTCAGGCGCCAGAGTTGTTGAACATGGTTCCCCAATCCTTGCAGTCGGGATCATCAATGAAGTCGAATCTGCTTGTGGCACTGCCCTTGTTGCCCTTCTTGTTCTTTTCTTCTGCGACCAACAGCCATTGCAGGTGCCAGTTCTCCGCTTTGCTGAAGTCCTCGCCCAGCAGCATGTGCTTGGACAGCCCAGATACAAAGTTTTAGCTGGATTCCATGTCGATTTAACTGGCAATGCCTGTTGAGACAATCCGCGCAGAGCAACGTGATGCACTTGATGACTGCCAGGGCTGCCAGGGTGTCACACACGCCTTCAGAAGAGGGCCTCCAAGCGATATGAGTGGTCAAAGAAAGTATGTCCTCAGACACAACGACTTTGTGGGAGCCAGATCTTTGCTCGCTTCTTTGGGCGAACCTATTGTCCAAACATGGAAGAAATCAGGCCCTCTTTTTCCTGTCCGCAATACTAGCACAAAACTCATCATTCTCCTGTCTGCTGCGCAAGCAACTGCCCACTGTGGATATCTGCGCAGCAGCAGTCCCAGCGCGCGGCTCATCACTTTGAGGATCCATGCCAGCTTTTGCGCGATCGCTTGCTGGGTGGTCGAGGGCATTCTGCATTGCTGAAGTGCACCAGTAAACCATAACCACCCGCGGAGAAATTGCTGTCCAAATCCAGATGGATGCAGGGAATGGCTCTTCATTGGCCTCCTGTACCATCAAATGTTGTTGACATGTCCAGGGCGTAAGATACTGTGTAGCGGCACTGCGCAACCCATTGCAGAAGTCTGTCTATGCTCCATCCAAGTTAGGAGCCACGCCGCTCCCACGAAATATGGCATTCGCCGGAGATGATAGGTCAGAATTCTCTCAAGAGTACCAGACCAGGACCTCAGTCCAAACAAAACTCATTGAATGAGTTCTGTCTTTTGGCGGTCGGACACCAAAAGAAGATACATGAAGATACTCTTCTTGTGCAAAGCCACGCCCAAACATAATCTTAGTCTCTACTGGCACAGGGGACTACTTAGAGTGTCCCCGAATCACACACTACTCAAGTGGCTACGAACACAAAAGCACTACCGCAAGCCAGCAACCTGCCAGGTTTCAGGGGATAAGCCCTTTAGAATTCTCGTAGAAACATTCCATGAAGCCGATGCATACTAACACTACATACAGCATTACGAAGCACGTCAAGGCCATATCGCGTAGATGGTTAACATGAGTAACTTACATCTATGCGAACACTTGTACTTCTCGACTACAACAAACGGAACGACTTTGATACCGAAACTTCTATAATCCAATTTTTTCGCCGTCTTGAAATCAGTCACTATGGCTTTCCTTACCCTGCCCCGGTTCTGCGAAACAACTGACTAGCCTCTATGTTTCTCCTTGTAGGCTTGTTTAGGAGGAGTCAGGGAATCCATAAATTAGCCACAGGGCCCTGTGGTTCAAGGTGTCCGCGACCGTGATGTTCTTGTTGATGCCCGAGTTCACGTGCAAGCCTGTGGGGTCTGCTCAGCGCAAGTAAATGTCAACCACCCTGCACTCTCCAACATTCTAAACCCTAAACCCTAATACCTGAAAGCTAAACCGTAAGCCTGCCATGAAGGGTTGGCCCCGGCTATCCTGAACCAAACACCCTCACAACAGGAGCAGGGTTAAGGAATACAATTAAGGTTTAAGGCCGCAACCCTAAAACCTGTCCTAAACAGCAACGCCGCATCCACTTCCAGGATCTCCTGTCTTAGTAAGTCTACTTAGCAACTTGGTATAATAGGGCTTAATAGGGGTTATTTGGGATATTTGGTAGGCTTCCTTTCAAAGGTTTCAGGCTTGTACCCTAGGGTTGTACCCCTGGGTTCGGGGATCCTTTTAAAGGGACCCTCAGGGACCATATAAGGGCCATATTAAGGCCAAATTAGAGAAATTATGTAGGGTTACGACATTAGGTGTACAACCCTGGAACCCTTGATGCTAAGTCAATCAAGAACCCTAAACCCTAAACCCAACCCTGGAACCCTTGATGCTAAGTCAAGAAAGAGATCGGACCCCTAAACCCTAAACCCCTAAACCCTAAACCCCTATACCCTAAACCCTAAGAGATCATCTAAGTTGGGACGCCGGCCTGAGGGGCCCCAGAAGTGGTAGATGGGCGGGTTGTCAAAGGATGGATTCAGTGCCTCCTGGGACAGGAATGCCGGATTAGGGCTTAGGGGCTTAGGAGTTTCCATGGAAAACTTGGAACCCTAGTAAAAATTACAATTTTTGCTGTTCTTTAGAATGATAATAAGCAAAAAACAAGAAAATACTTCCAAGTACCCCTACAGTTTATGGATCAAACATTCTGCTCCCTAAGCCCTGAACCCCTAAACTCGGGAGTTAGATGTTGCCTTCTTGTTGGCTTCCATTCAGTCAACTCCTACAGGGCACAAAGTTTACCGACCCAGGCTTTTCCAAAAAATGTGGTTGAACATGCGGTTTCCGCCAGGGTTCTAGCAATTATTCGCCTCCCCACAGTAGCAACCCTGCCCCCGCGCCAAGACATGAAATACACCCCATAATGTACAATGCTACTTTTATTGGGTGGCATTTTGTCTTACAGAGTGCTGGGGAGTTCTAGTGAAGTGACTACACAGGGACTTCAGGCATGCAGCAGCGATTATCTGAACAACTCCCACGTAAGAATCTCCATTATCTTCCCCAAGTATTGGACTGCTGTTATTGTTTCAGGGTTCTCTAAAAGGGAACCCCCCCCACCCCCCCTCCCTCCCCAAAAAAAAAAACACACACACACACAGAGCAATACATCAACAACAATGATGCATATGCAGGGCTTCATGCTTGGGATGGCTCATGAAGGATCATGGATTACCCCTAGTAAACATGTGGGTTGCTCTGAAAACTATGGGCCACTTCGGGCTATGAGCTAAATTACTCACGTAATACTAAGGGGTACCAAATAACATGGGACCTGAATTTTGAAAACTACAGTACCCATGTGTAAACCATAGCCTCACCCCTGAGGTCTTGTCCTCGTCGTCTGGATGAGGTCGTGGCGGGTCATGAATTCCGCCCTGCCATGATCGAGTCATGAGGACTTGGGGCAAATGGGTCAAAGACAGAAAGGGTTTAGGGTGTAGGGTATGCTTCACCCCTAAGCCCTAAACCTGCCTTCTGCAAAGTTGCCTCGGAGGCTGATCGGCTCTGTTGAACTCCTGGTTTGGGAAAAATCTGTTCAATAAAAAGGGGGTTGAACCCCTGACCCAAGCACATGTCTCAAAACAGTCATTCCTGCCATGCACCCTGCAACATTATCTGTACCAAGCCAAGTCCCCATGCCAGAATCTCCTTAGTTAGTTGCTTGTCGTCTCTTAATTGGATGAAGGAATGGACCAGGAATGGGAATTACTGTTTTCCCGGGGTTGTTATATTGGGGTATCATAGGGATTCGTTCCGAAACCCTAAACCCTATAAACCCTAAAGCCTAAACTCTTTTTTGGTGTCATAGGGGTTCATTCCTTACCCTAAACATCCCTAAACCCTATTGGGGTAGGGTTTAGGGTTCATTCCTCCATTCCCTCCTGAGAAAACGTAAGGCTGGAGTGGACTGAGGACTTCTCAGCATCAGGGGTATCCTTTGGGTGGACCCCCGCCCAGTAATAGTGACTATAAGGGATCATATAGGGTTTAGGGTTTAGTGTAATCGTGACTTTAAGGGATAATAAGAATTAGATGAGGGTCCTCCTATATTCCCATTATACCACTATTACAGGTTGAAAGGGTCCTTCTAAGGTATCCTTCAAAACCTTCCGGACACAAGGGGATGCTACGTATCATCTATGTACAGGAACGGAAGCTTAACGTGCATTTCAGGTAGACTCCAGCACTATCATCTGGATCCCTGCTGGGCGAAGCCAATTATACGGCACAGACTAAAGCATCGAACATGCTAAGTGCACTGCACTGCAATCCCTTTAGACCTATAATGAGCGCATTATTGGTAGTAGTTCCTTGGGTTAAACTTCGATAGCAGTAAAGACAAGTCCTAAGGGGATAGAGAAAACAGGAGACTAAGGATTGCTTAGACGGGAGGCAGCCAGGGAACCTTGGGAAAATCAGTCGTCTGCTATCTTGGGCGCCACATCCCTACGTACGTCCTAGATCCTAATCCTAACAAAGGCCACCCCGCGAGCGACATGGAATATCACAGGCCTCGATGCAGGGGCTGATGTAGCTCGGGCTCTCCTGCACAACGCAAGACAGCACAACGGGATCCAAATACGTGTTAGGCCCCAAATACTATAATCTGTTTGGGCTTTTGGTACCCAACGTCCTACCTGGAAAGCGAAATTCGTTACCCAACTTAATGAGCTACTTTGACAAAAAGGGTAGGAAACCAGGCGAAAGTAGACTATATGATTAGCGACACCTGGCGCTCTAGGTAGGTTTCAGGGTTTCCAGGACTGAGGGCAAAGAATTTTCATACAGACATGCCGAAGCATGCGGAAGGCAAAAACAAAAAGTGCTGAATCACTGCAGGGACACAAGGCACCCTCCTGCTGCGAGGGAGACACTCCCATCGCTCTCACGAACTTTGGCAACCTCAGTTCTCCCAAAGCGTCTGTATATCAAAGGTTTTCGGCTTAGCGCTTAGGGTAGGGTTAGGTTCCAGTGGATTTCCTATATTGGCTCTTTGGGGCCAAAGTATATACCCCCCAGGAGGTCCAGAAATCTATCTAGCACATACTTGGGGCCCAAAGGAATTCCAATGTTAATGTTTGCTGACAACCCTAGCGGTTTAGGGTTTAGGGCCCCAAACCCTAAGCCTTAAATCCTAAGCTCTAAGCCCTAAATCCTAACCATATGCGCAATACTCTAAACTCCTACTGTAGTATCCCCCTTAATAGCCCCATCGTAGTCCCATATATAATCCCCTACGTAACTCCCAGACTTTCAGCCAGGACCGGCGTATTACCCTTCCCTCAAGGCCCAAGTACCTACATAATATGTACTTAGGGCCGAAAGTACCTAGATAGCAACACATTTGGTTTGGACCCAAATGATCTATTATTTGAACCCTTAGGGCTTAATTGGGGGCTTACAGAGCCACTGGTAATGGGCACTTAGGTATAAACAGATGCTCACATCGGGAAATCGCCTCATAGATGTTCCGGCAATTTCATAGGTTCAGTTGGGCAGAAGGGCAAAAAGTTTGCAGAAAGTGCTTGCGCAAGCATTTTTGTGTAGTTTGAAGGAGGAAGCGGAAAAAATAAATCTATGTATAGACTGTGCTGGACCTCGTGCCCCACCGTGTCCACTCCAAAGCCATGCCACTGCGCGAAACACCAAATCCATGAGCCATTCTAAACTACATGAGGTAAAGTGGGTAGCTTGAAAGGCTGAATCTTAGACCCCCTGGCCCACATCAAGGCAAAGCGAGAAGGAGAGCAACGGTCCTACCTTGACTCCGTAAAATGCCCGATTCAGATTGCAAACTAACTGTTGAGATGTTGAAAAATCGATTGGAACCGAGACAAAGGAGGGCCGTGATATGAGCTATAGTCTAAACTCCTAGTATCCCCCCTAATAACCCCTATAATAGTCCCCTATATAACCCCCTTTTAAGGAGTTTCGACAAAAGCTCATATAGAGGAATTACCATCTGGGGTCTGTGGGGTATTTGTCTACGGACTTTAGGAGGGACCCC